AAATTATGCACTCTAAAACAACCCAATGTACGTATGTAACTGTCACACTCCCCTCCAAACTGGACTAAAAATCACAAACCGGCAACATACACGTCACTCGTTATTTTTCAATTACCAAAGTCCTTGTGTTTATACATACCTTGTGTTTCTCACATACCATTTACCTTTAATTACAACAAGAAATTTGATTGGCTGTTCATAGTAGATCCAATCTGATTGGTGTGACATACATACATCTCTCACTCACTCACTCACTCACTCACTCACTCACTCATTGACCCATCCATAACATACCCGACACGCTGACTAAGAGGTATTTTTTTTATAAAAAAATAACTCAAAAATGACTGTTTTGCAGTTTAATGTAATTAAAATATATGGAGATGCCCTAGATAAATACCACATTCATTGCTCTCTTTCATTGTCCGCATGTCAGCCTAGTTGTGAAATCTTTTTTGACATTTTAGTGGGAAGCATGCATACTGAATGAAACTGATCTATGTGCAACAGGACTGTCATTAAGTTTTAAGTGTAAGTCGACATTTGTTGTCTTGATCTTCACACCCATTACAAACTTGTTATTCTGTAGGTGAATGTGTAAACAACAGGCAAATTGACCTGTAGCATTGCAGGGGCACAGATCAAGCACACTCTGAATCAACAGGTGTTATGGGTTACTGCCCAAAATGACAGTCACAGTGCACTTTTTTCAGTTGTATTCAGATCACCAAGGAAGCCTAGGCAGCAGTCTCAAAAGACAGTGTCATGTATTCCAATTAATTTGTTATGCACAGACATGTGAAAAGAAAAGAACTAGTACCTAAAAAGACCATTGGGCAGTCTAGGAGAGACTAATCCCAAAAATATCCCTCGTTCCCTTGAAATAAATGATCATATTCACCAAGACCCCTTGGGGGCCCTCAGAGGTATACAGGATGAGAATGAGCCCTTCAGCCCCCAAGCCAATAGCCCCTAACCAGAAGTTGATAAGCCCCCATTAACGGCTAAAAGAATGAAAAATAATAAACAATTATTGGATGAGGTTTTTGTGATATCCAGAATAATCAAGTTTGAGGTACAGTGAGGGGCCCAGTTGTCAGCCGGCCCCAGTTCTCGGCCACTTTTTGTTCAGCGTTTATTTTTCGCACCACAAATGAATCTGAATAAAAAGTAATGGTTTCCAAAGGTAGCTTGATTCCTTGTCTTCCTTTATGCCGAGTTTTGTTTCGTCCTGTCGAGTTTTTCTGTGAGCACGTCGAGGTGTCGCGAAGGTAGGTGAATTTGGTTTCCCCGAAAACTTGTTTGTTTACGGCTACTCGAATTACATGGTTTAATTCAAGTTTATATTTTGTCCGTCTAGAAAGCCCAAATGAGCCAATTCTTGGCATAAAGGATGTAGAGTGATAAAACTATCTGTTAAATATAAACTTTTCCTGGCCTGTTTA